ATTTTTCATTTTCAAAATAGTTTTAAGTTTCAAAAACCTTTAATTTGGAACAAAACGTATGGTTTTGCAGTTTTTTTCTGAGCGGTGACACCAAATGTTTCAGAGAAGAGCTGCAGTGAACGTTTCTCCTCTGTGCTGACGTCTCAGCTCGTCAGGTTTATAATCTGAGATTTGAAGCRTTCTTCTTGGTACCACTGGAGAGATCCTGTGTGCCACCAGTGGACCATGCACCACCGTTTGAGAACCTTCCTGTTTGTCACAAACTGCTGTAGATGTTGATCTCATCGTCAGACAGAAACCTTTTCTGAAACCATGATAGTGCAGAAGTCCTGACTGTCCTCCTGTGATCCCTGCAGGTTTGAACATGTCTCTGCAGACGTGTGGAATCGACCTCATATAAACACTGCAGCCTGTAAAACACACATGCAGCTGATGGAAGTGGTGCTCAGCGCCGCATGAGTGACTGAACATCATGTTTCATGTTTTGTTTCAATCTGCGCATGTGGAGCCTGATGTTCTCCCGCCGTGCAGCCAATCAATGATCACCTCCTGATCGACAGCTGCACTGCAGTAAAATGTAAAGCTGTGCGCTGACTCAGCATGTCAAGTATGTTCCTGCGAGCAGAAACAACATCAAGTCGATGTTGAWGTCAGGGAGCTGAACTCTGACCCTGCTCTGGAGAAACAAACTCAAACTTTCAGCTTTCACGTAGATAATTAAGTCTGAGATGTTGGTTTCAGCTCAGAACATCTGGATCCCTCTGGTGTTGGGCTGAAGGTTCACAGAGGTCAAAGGTCTGAGGTCAAAGGTCTGAGTCTTGTTCCTGGATGATAGACAGCAGCATGAAGCAGGAGATGGACCGACACATCAGGGACTTGTATTCAGTAATGAGGGTGTTGTTCCGGTCAGAGGGAGATTTCCTAAATGAACTGATCTGGTGATGATAAACCAAACAAACCATCCTGCAGCTGAAACAGGAGGATCTGCTGCAGCTTCAGAGAGAGGCTGAGGACTTCATCATCTGCTGTCAGCTGACCTGCTTCTGCTACAGAATCTGACTGGAGTCAAACATGTCTCCTGTCCTCAGTGGGTCAGGGTGGGTGGATGGATGGATGGATGGATGGATGATGATGGATGGATGGATGGATGAATGATGATGGATGGATGAATGATGAAGGATGGATGGATGAATGATGATGGATGGATGAAGGATGGATGAATGATGATGGATGGATGATGGATGGATGAATGATGAAGGATGGATGGATGAATGATGATGGATGGATGAAGGATGGATGAATGATGATGGATGGATGATGGATGGATGAATGATGATGGATGGATGATGGATGGATGAATGATGATGGATGGATGATGGATGGATGGATGATGAAGGATGGA